CGGCCGGCCTGGGGCCCTACCTGAGGCTGTGTACCAGCTCCCAGCGTGACTGGCTTCCCGGCAGACCACTCGGTTGGACATCTTGGTGCCTGTGCCGCCTATGGTGCACGAGGATGAATGAGGAGCGGCGGCGGCGGCTGGAGCAGCTCCGCTAGGGGACGAGACACCGCGGCCCGGCCCAGGAGGAGGCGGCTGCGGGGAGGGGGAACGGCCCGGCCCAGGAGGAGGAGGAAGAGGAGGAGGCGGCCCAGGAGGAGGAGGAGATGGCAGCCGGGGCCGCAGCCTTGGCAGCAACAATCACCACAAACTCCGCGAGCGCCGGAAGATGGGGCCCTGGGCGGCTTCACCGAAGTCCAGAAAGCCCTGGCCCGGGCCCCCGCAGTCGCCGCTGCCCCCAAGCCGGGGCTAGTTCCCCCGAGCCGCCCCCACGGCCCCCTCCCCTCCTAGTCTGCTACCCCAAACCACGGCAGGTGACCCCACCCCGTGACTCCGTGCCCGCCCCTCCTCCCACTCCCGCGGGCCTCCCCGCCCCCACCCCCACCTCGGGCAGGGCCCTCCTGCCTGCCCGCCCCGCCTGCTCCGCCTCCCGGCCGGGCGACGAACTTAACAGCGGACACCGGACAGGCCACGCGGCAGTTGGGGTCCGGCAGCCCCGCGAGGAGACCGCGGCGGTAGCCGCAGCTCCGCACACACAAAACCCCAGGGACGGGGCCTGAACCGGGGAAAGCCAACCCGGAAAAGAGCCAACGCTTCCTTACTCGCCACTCTACCGACTCCTGCCCACTGAGCATGCCCAGCAGCCGCTCCTAGGCCCGCCGAGAAATCTCAACGTGCACGCTCCGCTCTCCAGAGTTTAGCGGCAGCAGAGGGTGGGAGGGGAAGGACGCCGGGTGCAGGACGCAGCCGCAAGGCCAGCCCCCTCCCCCACCCAACTTCCTTAAATGAAGTGCACTTAGGGCAGCAGAGTGGACCGTGCATATGCGGCTTTCCGCAAAGGAAATCCAGCACGTTACCCCTACCATCCGCAGAAACCTTTGTCGGTTCACACCGCGAAGATGTCAGTCCTATGGATACAACGCCAGGAAGTTCATTTAAGACAAGCACTAGTAAAGTGTGCCGGTGGTCCCACACATGCTAGTATTTGCTTCACAGGGCCACTTATACACCTAATCGTGACTTTGACACTGTAAATATTTGTTTCATGTTACATTTATGTAGGTGTGTGTCTTTATCTCCCTAACTAAAGTGGGATATAGTTAGCCTCAGTTATTCTCATCTATAAAAAGGGGATAACAGTACTCCAGGGGTGTACCTAGGATTATAAGAGTTAATGAATGTAAAGAGCTCGACAAGTAAGACATACAACAAATATTATTTCTACCTCTCCCTCATCATAAATTCCAGTATTACAAGTAATTGTAAAAGAATGACAACAAAGTAGGGTTATTTTGTACCTCCACAAAACTGTTGTTATGAAGTAGACCATTCCGAAACCAGGAAAAGAGTAAACAAAGCTGTGTATCTTCAATAAAAGATTTGGGGTTAAAACTATGAAACTGGTATATCTAAGTTTCACAGTAAACAGGACCTTGGTAGAGACAAAAGGATACTGGCTATTCAAGCTTAGGTTTCCCTAGTGCTAAGGAAATATATACATAACATAATTTTTTTTAAGGCCTGTTATGGGTTGAATTGTGTCCCTCACAAATGTGTCAACTTGGGTAGGCCATGATTCCCAGTATCGTGTGGCTGCCCACCATTTTGTAATCTGAAGTGATTATCCTACATGTTGTAAATCCTAACCTCTATATTAATGAGGCAGTTATGTTAATGAGGGAGGACTCCATCTACAGGACTAGGTTGTATCTTGAGTCAACCTCTTTTGAGATATAAAAGAAACAAGCAGAGAGGAGAGGGACCTCACACCACCAAGAAAAAAGCACTAGGAGCAGAGCGCATCTTTGGACCCAGGGTGCCGGTGCTGAGAAAGTCCTAGACCAGGGGAAGATTGATGACAAGGACCTTCCCCCAGAGCCAACAGAGAGAGAAAGCCTTCCCCTGGAGCTGGCGCCCTCAATTCAACCTTCCAGCCTCCTAAACCATGAGAGAATAAGTTTGTGATTGTTAAAGCCATCCACCTGTGGTATTTCTGTTATAGCAACACTCGATAACTAAGCCAGGGACTATTTCCGATTCTGTTCCCTCCCTCTCCTCTCACCTTTTTTACCTTAGTGCCCTACGATTTTGTGTGAGAGCTTAGACCTAAAGCCTAGTCAATTTCTAGAACACTTTTTCACACCATTTTATACATTGTTATTAGGCTAAAGTCTCCACTGAGCTTGTATATCTTTACTCAACCTTTACCCTCTCACTTCACCACTACCCTGCCCAAATATTAAGGTAGTATGCTGGAGAAGACAAAGTATTACAATGACATGTGCAAAGGTGGAGTTAGAAAACCAAAAAAGAAGAACACACTTGGCATTTCTCAAGCTGAAAGAACTGAAGAAAAAGTTCAAGCCTCAAATTGCAATACTGAAGGATTCTACAGGGAAAATATTAAACAACACACGAAGCATCAAAAGAAGATGGAAGGAATACACAGGGTCACTATACCAAAAAGAACTGGTCGATGTTCAGCCATTTCAGGAGGTAGCATATGATCAGGAATCAGTGGTACTGAAGGAAGAAGTCCAAGCTGCACTGAAGGCACTGGTGAAAAACAAGGCCCCAGGAACTGACAGAATATCAATTGAGATGTTTCAACAAATGGAAGTAGCACTGGAAATGCTCACTCGTCTATGCTAAAAAATTTGGAAGACAGTTACCTGGCCAACTGACTAGAAGAGATCTGTATTTACGCCTAATCCAAAGAAAGGTGATCCAACCAAATGCAGAAATTATCAAACAATATCATTAATATAATACACAAGTAAAATTTTGCTGAAGATCATTCAAAAGTGGCTGCAGAAGTATATCCACAAGGAACTGACAGAAATTCAAGCCGGATTCAGAAGAGGACATGGAACCAGGGATATCACTGCTGAAGTCAGATGGATCCTGGCTGAAAGCAGCAAATACCAGAAAGATGTTTACCTGTGTTAAAATTATTGACCATGCAAAGGTATTTGACTGTGTGGATCATAACAAATTATGGGTAACACTGCAAAGAATGGGAATTTCAGAACACTTAATTGTGCTCATGAGGAACCTGTACATAGATCAAGAGGCAGTTTTTCAAACAGAACAAGGGGATACTCCATGGTTTAAAGTCAGGAAAGGTGTGCGTCAGGGTTGTATCCTTTCACTATACCTATTCAATCTGTATGCTGAGCAAATAATCCGAGAAACTGGACTATATGAAGAAGAACAGGGCATCAGGATTGGAGGAAGACTAATTAACAACCTGCATTATGCAGATGACCCAACCTTGCTTGCTGAAAGTGAAGAGGACTTCAAGCACATTCCGATGAAGATCAAAGACTACAGCCTTCAGTATGGATTACACCTCAACATAAAGAAAACAGAAATCCTCACAATTGGACCAACAAGCAACATCATGATAAAGGGAGAAAACACTGAAGTTGTCAAGGATTTCATTTTACTTGAATCCACAATCAACACCCATGGAAACAGCAGTCAAGAAATCAAAAGACGCACTGCATTGGGAAAATCTGCTGCAAAAGACCTCTTTAAAGTGTTAAAAAGCAAAGATGTCACCTTGAAGACTTAGGTACACCTGACCCAAGCCATGGTGTTTTCAATCACCTCATAAGCATACAAAAGCTGGACAATGAATATAAGGAAGACCAAAGAAGAACTGACACCTTTAAATTATGTTGTTGGTGAAGAATATTGAATATACCATGGACTGCCAAAAGAATGAACAACTCTGTCTTGGAAGAAGTACAGCCAGAATGCTCCTTAGAAGCAAGGATGTCGAGACTGTCTCAGGTATTTTGGATATGTTATCAGAAGGGATCAGTCCCTGGAGAAGGACATCATGCTTGGTAAAGTAGAGGATCAGTGAAAAAGAGGAAGACCCTTAATGATATGGATTGACACAGTGGCTGCAATAATGGGCTCAAGTATAACAACGATTGTGAGGATGGCGCAGGACTGGGCAGTGTTTCGTCCCGTTGTACGTAGGGTGACTATGAGTCGCAAATGACTTGACGGCACCTAACAACAACATGCAAAAAAATAAATGAATATGCCATTTAGGAATGCCAGAAAAAGGAGGACTGAGGCTCTGATCCATGGGATTGTTCCTGGAATATCAAAATTCAGTGATAACTGGTGAAACAGGAAACATTTCAACCACTGTAAAGTTCAAGAAAAGGAAACTATCACAAGTGTTGATACGGTGATTTCTCCTGTAGTTAATTATTCCTGATTCTGTTCCTATGGGGCAGGGGAAGAGTGGAAACAATGAAAGCTTCTTATTTCAAGTCCTTCAAATCAGAAAATCAGGTTTGGGTCCTGGCTCTGTCACTTATAAACTGTATGACCATGGGCATATAATAATTTAACCTTTTCAAGCCTCAGTCTTCTCATCTGTCAAATACAAGCAAGCCTGCTGGGAGAATCATTTAGAAAAGTATGTGAAAATGCTTTGTAAGTTGTTTTTTATATATACATGTTATCCTTATCCTCTGCTCCTAGCAACAATGCTAGGTCTCATTCCAAACTACTAATCTAAAATTAAGCTTCCTGCCTATTAAAATGCTTAAACACTTCTTTCTCCAGAGGATTTTTCTTACTGGTCAAACTCTGCAAAGACCACAATATCAATTAAAGTGAAAGGTTAGAGAATCTTCTATTGTCTCTTTAGAAAGCTCTGAATATGTACCAGCAATATTCCCCAGGTCCACCTTATTTTGGCTACCTTATTCAGGGATAGACTCTTAAAAGAAATAAGTTGAAGCTATTCACTTACCCTTCTCCCCTAAATTAGGGAAGATCCACATAGTGCAAAATATTTACTCTATATCCCACATGAAGCTTGTCTGGCAGTACTGTACAACACTCATGTTAACAATTTTCATTATATTCACCAGTGTGATTCGGGTTTGACACTCCATAAACATTCATGGTAGGGGGCAAGGAGGAAATCTTCATTAATAGACAGTCCTTGAAAGAAGTAGAGGTGAGGCCAAGATGCAGAGTAGTCAGATGCTTTAGGTGGACCCTCTTACAACAATAACCCGAAAAAACAAGTGATTCGATTACATATGGCAATCTGGGAGGCCTGAATATCAAATGCAGAGTTGAGGAACTGGACTGAGCGGCAGGGGGAGGGAGAGACGGATCAGAAGCAGGGAGGAGTTGGCAGACCTGACCCGGCAAGAGCCTGAGCCCTTCAGGCCTGATCAGCCCCAGGGTGAGCAGTGACGCAGGCAAGCAGCTGTGCTCGGGAGGCGCATTTTCCTCACGAGGAGAGACCCAGCACGAGAGAGCCAACACAGCCACCCAGAACCAGTGAGAAGCAG